CACCTCCGGAACGCCGACATGAGGCAGGGTTTCAGCATGGCCGCGTCGATGCAGCGGCCGATGATGATCTTCACCTGCCGCGGCGACACCTTGGGGCGGCGCTCGAACCACCTGAGCGCGGCCTCGAGCCGAGCCCGCCGACGCCCAGTAAGCTGCACCGCCCCCGCGCTCCCGCCGATCTCCCTGCCGAGCAAGACAGCCGAAGTGGAGGCCACGGTGACCTCGTGAACTTCAAAGCCGTCGGCCACCAGCTGCGCCTCGATCTTGGCCCGCAGCGAGTCGGCGGTCTCGCGGGAGGTCGAGCCGACGTCGATGTTGTCACAGTAGGCGAGCACCGTGGGCTTCCCCTCCGAGATGTCGGGGATGGGGCCGCGGTCGGTGAGCATGGCGGAGGGGCCCATGCCGATGGCAACCCGCGCGCGCCAAGACGCGACGCGCTGGGCAAGGTGGGAGGCCCAGCTCCAGCCCATCGGCACCACCCTCAGCGTCGGCCAGACCCAGCCGTCCGACGGCGGGAGCTCTCCGATGAGCGGCCCCCCGAAGCTCTTGGCAAAGCCCACGGGGGCCGCCGGGCGGCAGAAGAAGGGCATCAGCTCGGGCGGATTCTTGAGCGCGTAGAAGTAGTTCTTGGTGTCAAGGCTGCTGACGTAGAGCTCCTCCATCGTCTCGGACGTCTCGTCGAGACGGGGCCTCCTTGGCCCCTTCGGCTCCAGTCTGCCCCAGGAGGCCCCTGAGCCCATAGCCAGCGCTGGACACTTGCGGAAGCGCCTGTTGGGCACCCGAGCGTCGAGCGCCAGCCTCAACCTTCCAGATTTCTTGCCGACGAAGCAGGGGGCCACCCAGTCCTTCGGCTCCGTGGTGAAGGAAAGGGGCCCCGCGGCGTGCAGGTCCCCGATGAAGCCCCGGTAGAGCTCGGGATCCTCGCGCAGCTCCACGTCCATGAACGGGGTGATGGGCGGCGGGCTCTCGATCACGCGTCCCCACTCGTCCTGGTCTAGCAACATGGTGTTCACCCAATCCTGTAGCATCTCCTGTCCGACAGGGTCGATCACGTCGAGGAGGGCTGGCGGCGTAGAGCCTGGCCTCGGGATGTCGACGAGCTCCCTGTCACGGGCCCGCGCTGGGCACGCGGCTCCCTCATCGTAGAGAGAGAGAGAGAGAGAGAAAGAGAGAGAGAGAGAGAGAGAGAGAGAGAGAGAGAGAGAGAGAGAGAGAGAGAGAGAGAGAGAGAGAGAGAGAGAGAGAGAGAGAGAGAGAGAGAGAGAGAGAGAGAGAGAGAGAGAGAGAGAGAGAGAGAGAGAGAGAGAGAGAGAGAGAGAGAGAGAGAGAGAGAGAGAGAGAGAGAGAGAGAGAGAGAGAGAGAGAGAGAGAGAGAGAGAGAGAGAGAGAGAGAGAAAAAAAAAAAAGAGAGAGCGGAATCTCAGCAGCTCTCCCGCGGCTGCCCGAGGTTGAAATACATTGCTGCACTGGGCGCTCAGTCGCGCAGCAAGCCGAAGCTGGTGATGAGCCTCATGGCGGGCGGCGTGTGCAGATCCCGCGGAGCCCTCCGGGGCCCGGTAGAGCTCGTTCAGGGCGGTGGCAGCCTGGTTGACGGTGCGGTCCTCCCAACGTACCCTGGCCAGCGCTCGCCTCTGGCCTCGAGACCCTGCCTCAGCTGCAGGGAGCTCCTCGACCGTCGGCAAAAGAAAAAATTCGCGCTGCCGTCCGTCAAAAACTGGGCGTCGTGCGGGCGTGTAGCCACACGCAGTCCGAGCGCCACTGCGGCCTGGGAAACGCGGGCGAGGTCGGCCAGGCCCCGCCGCGGAGACGTCCTTCATCAGGAGTGGGCGCCGTCGGCGCCCTCCCCCTTGCCCTTGCCTGCGCCCTTGCGGACCCCGCGGCGGAGACGCAGCTCCTCGCGGGCCTTGCGCTGCTCCTTGGCGACCTCCGCCTCGCCCTTGACCTGGTCCGTGACGTACCTGCGGAGGCTGGGAGCCACTGTGACTCCACCTGCTCTGTGGGGCCAGCCCGTGTAGTGGTCGGCCGCCCCGTAGTCGGGGGCGGACGGGCTGGCCCTGTGCGCGTCCTCGATGAGCTGGATGCGCCTGGCGATGAGCCCCCCCGTCTGCAGGCTGCAGGCGTTGAGCTGGTCTACGCACAACATGACGAAGAACAGCACGCACAGCACATGATGTTCGTGGATCGACCTGTCTCCCGTCGGCACGCGGGAGACGCGCACCCAAGTGTCGTGGTGGGTGAGCGGAGTGATGCCGCCGTCCCGCCAGCGTCGCAGCACCCGCCCGACCGAAGCCGCATCCTCGAGGCCGAGCCCACCCTGAGGGGGTGAGTCGTCGAGCAGGTCGACGGCCTCTGCGAAGGGCCGTCTGCGGCTGCCGCTCGCGTCGAAGGCGACGGGGAGGGCGCGCAGGTCGTCGCTGGCGTAGGCCTTGACCTCGTCCTCGCCCATCTGACGGGCGAACACCTTGCCTGCCGGGAGCATCGCGATCGCCATGTCTCCGTCGATCATGGGGGCGTCGCCGAGGTCCGCGATCACGTGGCCTCGCTGGAGGCCCGCCGCATCCTCGGCCACGACCCGCACCCGCTGGAAGGCGGCCGCCGCGGCTCCAAGGCGAGGGGCGCCAGCAGCAGCGGCAGCGGGCTGAGCGGCCGGGGCGACCGCGACGCCTGCGAGGAGGGCGCCATCCGCGAAGTACTGGGCCCGCTCCGCTGGGGTGGGCACCCGGCGGAACCTGTAGATCCGATTGGGGTTGATCCCCGCTGGGACCGCACCAGGCCCAGCCAGCGCTCGCATGTCCAGCAGGTCGGCGTTGGCGAGGGAGATCTGCTCGATGTAGTGGTCACCGTCGGGAGTCAGGACCCCGCACTGCGCGTCGGCGCCGACGGCGGTGATGGGCCTCTCGTGGTAGAGTGCGTCCACCACGCCTGGGAGGTCGTAGGCCACCAAGACCCATACCCCTGGCGCCAGCGCCATCATCAACAAAACGCCTGCCTCGCCCTGACCGCGGCGAGAGCGGCGCGAGCCTCCTCCGCCAAGGCCGTCGGCGCGACCTCAGCCGCAGGCAGCTCGCCGACCGCGGGGGGCGCCTCCACCGCCAGAGGCGGCGCTGGCCCCGCCGGCTGCGCGGCCGGCCGGGCCGGCGCCTCCAGCCGCCGCGGGCGGCTGACCACGAGCAGGGCGAAGAAGAGGCACCCTGCCAGCGCCCCGCCCAGGAACGCCGCCGCGAGGGGCCCGACAAGGCCCGGGCACGGCGCCGCTGGCGGGCACGAGGGCGCCGCCGGGCACGCGGTCAGCCGCTCCGGGACGCACCGCTGGAGCTGCTGGCTCAGCAGCTCGAGCACACCCTCGTCAGGCCGAGCGGGCGTGCAGTCGCAGTAGCACGAGGGCGCGTGCACGGCGTTGGCCAGGAGTCCTCCGAGCGCCGAGTACCCCAGCTGCAGCGCGTACTCCATGCACTACCGGCCGAGGAAGGGCGCCCAGAAACCTCTGAGCCAAAGAATTCCACGGAGAGATGCTGTGGTTGCGGCGCTCTCCCGAGAATCAATCAAAGAACGCTAAAGCTGACTCATCATCCTCTTCCTCTTCCTCTTCCTCTTCACCCCCACTTCGGTTCCATTGAACCATCTCGACAAAACTCCCCCTTCCTCCTGGAAGGGAGGAGGAGTACAGACCAGGAGGGAGGAATGCGGAGGGACCAGGATGAGGGGATGGAGGAGGAAGAGGAGGAAGGGAGGAGGGACGAGGGGCGGGACGATGAGGAGGATGGCGGATGAGGCAGGAGGGGTGCAGGAGTCCGAGACACCTCCTGGAGGAGGGAACCTAAGTCCTCACCGAGTGCCGAGGCGACTGAGAGCCCTGCGTACAGCTTGTCAAACAACGCCGACCCCCGCCTTTCAGGGGTGTGCACAGTCGTGCGGAAGTTGGAACTCAAAATTTGACATTCGAAATTCGAGATTCGAAATTTGAGACTCGACATCCGAAATTCTAAAAAATCGAAGACCTCGGGTTTGGGGACGTTTTCGGACCTCCTGGAGGCTTCCCGTGGCCCATGCTGGATTCCCCATCGAGCCTCTTGCCGGCACGCAGCCCATGACGAGACCAGGGATGGTCTTTTGACCCCGGGACATCCCTCCAGCAAGGGGGGCAAAAGGCAGAAGAACGCCGCCGATGTACGCCGAGGAACCGACTGATAGAAGGCAAAAAGACTGCATACACACAGGAAGTCCGCGCGGAGCGCCGAAAACTTGCCTACGCAGTTGTTTCCGTGAATTCGACGAGCCTGCCCGCGGGATTCGCATTAGCATTCCGCAGGACCTACCATCATCATCCCTACAGCCCCCCCCCCCCCCCGGCCGAAGCCCTACATGCCGTCACGCTGGTCTCGGGCAGGCTGTGCTGCCTGGCGGAAGGAACCCCTTCGTTTTCGACCCCGGCTCCGCCGCCCCCTTCCCCCCAGACTCGAAGCTTGCGCTCGGCCTGCTGGAGGCCCTGGGGTTTCCACCTGTTTGTGCTTGCGCGACTGTGCTCACGAATGCCCAGGGTCAACTTTGAACAAAGGGGGGAAGGGGGGAGCGGAGCCAAAGGTTCAACTTTTTTGTCCACCTACGGTCCCACCAAAACGTCGGGCGGGCTGCTTTTGTTCAGTCCTACCCAGCCTAAAACTAAATTACCCCTATCCCTGAGATGGGGATGGCAATCTTGGGGATGCGCCCTCAGAAACCGAGGGAGCCCTTCAGATCGGAATCGAGGTAAAAGTGGTGCTAATCAGAAGTATGGGGATGTGCTTCAGGCTGGTGAAGTCCCGTGATTTTGCCTGCGACATGAAGGCTGGGACAGCTGCTCTCCTCGGGCGGGTGGTCGTGGCATCAATGGTTGCCACGAGGCCTCCCCGAAGGCCAGGTGGCAATGTCGGAGGCCCAAACCCCGACAGCAGCGGCAGCTGACGTTGACAGACAGCCAAGATATTCCAACCATGGGCCCCGGCGGTGGTGCACCGCGAGGCGTTCTGGATCTAGCCGGAACTTTTCCAGCTCCTGGTTGATAACTCCGTTCAACTCGGCAGCATAATGCTCCCGGTTGTCGTACTTGTACTGGCTGGTCGCCCGGAGGCCCCTGGTGTCCAATAGCCACTGCTTCACAAAAGCCTTCTGGACCTTCCGACGGATTCCGATCTCATGCAGGCGTTCCTGCACAATGTCTTCGCTCATGTTCGGGGCAGGCTCCTCTAAGTCTGTCCATCCCGAGCACATGCGCTGGATCAGCGGGGACGCAAGCGCTTCAAATATTTTCGTCAAGCGCACCTTGTTCGGTCCAGAGGTGGGATCGAAGAACTGCTCGTGCATGCGCAAATTCTGCGCCCCCTGATTCACGCTCCGGATGTCGAGGAGTGCCTGCAGCTTGCCGAAGAGCGTCAGCCCTTCGTCCTTTAACACTGGAACGATACCCTTGGCGAAACTAATTTCCTCTGAGGGCTCGAGTTGCTTTTGGATTTTCTCAGACAGCTTGCCTGCCGACTCCGGCATCCTGGTGACCATGTAAGGAGTCAGACCGTTTATGCCTTGGATCACAAGGGTAGCGGAGCATCGTATAAGCTCTTCCACGCACGGGTTCTGTCCATTGAAGATGGCGTGGTGTAGTGCCGTCCACCCGTCGGTGTCCTGCGGGAACCCGCAACGAAACAATGAGCTGGGCAAGAGATCCAGAGAGCGACACGGGAGGTGCTCCTGGACTTCTATGGTGGATTGCCAACGGCACCCCAGTGTGAGCCAAACATCTGGAGACTCGCAGAAATCCGCCGACCCTTCGGCGTGTGGAAGACGCTGTCGTCGTCGTCGTCGTTGCCGTCGCCGTCGTCGTCGTAGTCGTGGTCGTGGTCCTGGTCCTGGTCGTCGTCGTCGTCGTCGTCGCCAGTCCCCAGGACATGGAGGAACAAGGAACAGGGACGCCGTCGTCAAGTCGAAAGGAAACCCCTTCCCTTTCTTCCTTCCATTCCCGGGGGGGGGGGATGGGGGGGGGGATGCGAGGGGTGGTCCCGGGTGTCCCGACGAGGGATACGAGGGGGATACGAGGGATACGAGGGAGGGATACGAGGGATACGAGGGATACGAGGGATACGAGGGATACGAGGGGGGATACGAGGGATACGAGGGGGATGGGGGGGGAATACCGACTCATACCGCCCCCCCCCGTGTTTCCAGGGTGGGTCGCCAGCGGGGGGCCCAGGGAAGGCCCCGCCTTCAGGGTCGGCAGCCTCGGCCGTACGGCCTTCGCAGTATGTTTAAAGAAGAACGAACAGAGAGACCTACGAGCCCCAAGAAATTGTTCCTACTAGCTCTCAGCGTGTTTCTGCGAGCTTGCTCCAAACAGGTCTTCGAGGAGAAGTTCCAGGATATTCTGAAACAGAAGAGCCCCCACGAAGTCCCTCATTTAGGGGACCGAACAATCTTCCAAATGCCTGCGCGTCCCTATCCGCAATGTTCCCCCGCTGGGCTTTGGATGCTGTCCTGGAGGTCCGGGTCGGCCTTCGCTTTTATCAGCACGGGGATGAGATCCACCTCGGGCAACTGGATTCTCTCGCACTTTGGGTGCCGGACAGCTCTGAAACAAATACGGGCCCCTGGCGCCATCCTTCTCGGCGGGGGAGCGAGGAGAAGTGAAGAGGAGGACTCGCTTCCCCCCTGAGATGTCCGCCGACTGGCGCCACCCTTCCCCCCCGCGCCCGTCTCTGCTGGGTTCGGGGGGGCGTTCCCGGCCGCCCCCACCTGCCCCTTGCGCGCCGCTATATGGAGCGCGGCGCGGCCCTTCGCATTACGCACGTTCATGTTCACGCTCGTGGCGCCCCTGCCCAAGCCCGAGGCCGTGCGCACCGTGCTCAGCATCACCTCGAGACAGTCCCGCCTGCCCCAGAACACGGCGGCCGTGAGGGCCGTCCAGCCGTTCTCATGCCTGTGGTTGACGTTGGCCTTTCGGCTCAGAATGTCTCGTACCTCCTGCGGCGAGCACGAGGAGACGTCGGCGACAAGCTTGTTGCTCGCTGCCAACCTCTCGGCGTGCTCCGCCTCGTTGGCGCCAGGGCCCCCACGTTGCTCCGGAATGAGCAATATCTTGAGGACGTCCAGGTCTCGCACCTTCGCCGCCTTAAAAGCCGCGCACTCCATGTCCTTGTTGTGGAGCGATGGGTCGGCACCATGCTGTAGGAGCTTCAATATGAACAGCTCGTCTGATGCGGCCTTGTCCGCTGCATACAGAAGCATGTGCGACCCAGTTGAATCCTGGAAATTTGGATCTGCCTTGGCATCTAAGAATGCTAGCGCCTTCTCCTGCAACTGTGGCTTATAAGTGTGAGCGCCCCGGGCCTGTTCGAGAAGCCGCTCGCTCGCGATCCTGTCGAATTCAGCCTTCCTGGCCTCGATAACAGATACAGTCTCGTTGACAAGGTCCTGACATAGCTGAGTGAACGAGCTTTTGCCGACCACACTGAACACTGCTTCCATATAGTGGATGAACTCTTCCTGGTCCAACCCGCCGCTGTTATCAGAGTCGTGGCTACGGAACATGCTCTCCAGCTTGTCTGCCCCTGTTGGAGTTCCAGTCATGCACGCGGCTGCACCGTGGGAGAGGATATGGCCATGATGTTGCAGAAACTCAGTGAAACCGATGGTGCCATTGTTGTTCTTGTCCGAGAGAGCCTTAGAACTTTGCAAGCACAGGCGCGTGCGCGCTCTGCCAAACAACCTTGACCAGATCATGCAAATCCGCCGATCTGGCGTGCGAGCTTGAATGAGGCTCGACTCAGGCTGTAAGAGGGCGGTGTCGCAGTTCCCCGAGCCCCCCTTGGAAAATACCCCCCCGAACCCCCCGTCAGGGTTGGACTTGGAGGGGAAAGGTTTCCCTGGCCCAGGAGTTTTGGGAAGGTCTGGGGAAGTTGTTGTTGGGGAGTCCAGGGCGCAAAATAGAAAACCAAACTAAAATCTAAAACTCCCCTTGAACCCCCCTCAGGGGGGTTTTGCTTAACCCCCCTCCTCAAAGAGGGTTTTTAGCGGGGTCAGGGGGGGAGAGCTAGGGGGGGGGGCTTGTTCCTGGACCACCCCCTCAGAGTGGGTTCTCCAGTGGAGTGAACAAGTTTCCCCTCAGAACCCTTCCTCAGGGCGGAGTTCTGGGGGGGTTAGGAGGGATTGCCCGACCCCCCCCTCTCGAAGCGGAGCGGGGCGGGGGGTTAGGGGGTGTTTTCCTCTGGCCGCCCCCTCAGAGGGGGGCCTGGGGGGGGGTAAGAGGCGCGTTCCCCCCGGTCCCCTCACCTCTTCAAGTTCTTGTTGAGAGGGGGGGGAGGAGGGTCTTTATCCTCTAGAACCCCCCTCACGAGTTGTTGGCTTCGGGGAATTTACTGGTTTTCCGCCCAGACCCGCCCGATCAGGATGTTTGGGGCGGTTTCCCCCCCCGGAGCCCTCTCGCAGGAGGGTTTTGTTGAGGGAGTTCTCGCCTGGAAGCTCCTAAGGACTTTTATTATTGTAAGGGTTAGGGTGTTTTCCCTGGGAACCCTCCCCAGGAGAGGTTTCTGGAGGGGTTGGTGGGGTGTTCCCCCTGGAACCCCCCTGAGGGGTTCTTCTGGGAGTTATAAGGGGTGGAAGGCTGTTCCAGGACGCCCCCCTCAAGAGTTTATTTTGGCGCGGTTCGCGGGGTTTTCCCTTGCAAACCTTCCTCAAGGGTTTTGTTGTCCCCCAGAAGTCGTCCTGAGGCTAGGCGTGCCGCCCTGCTGAACACCACCCTCCGCGCCCAAAGGGGCCCAGGAGGCCACCAAGACTGTCCAAGAGGTGCACGAGACGGCCCATGGGTTTAGCAACATCGGCTGTTTGGTCTCAAGGGCGTCCAAGACGGTCCAAGAGGCCCCCAATACCGTCCCTAGACAGCCCAAGAGACCCTCAATAGGGAGGGCCGCGAGATGGCAAAGGCGGCCCCCAAGACGACCCCAAGAGACCCCCAAGACGGCTCCAAGTAGAAGCTGGGACTGACCCTTCGAGCCCTTCTCCCCAAGGCGACCCCCAAAGCCCCCAAGAGGCTCCCGAGGCGCCCCCATGAGGCCACAAGAAACTTCCAAGAGGCCCCCAAGAAGACCCCGAGAGGTCCCCAAGAGACCCCGAGAGGCCTCCACGAAGCCCCCAAAAGGCTACCAAGAGACCCCAAGAGGCGCCGCCTCGCGCGCTGCCAAGCCAGAGGTGCATGGTTTGACTTGGTATTGATCGGAAGCGAAAGCACTGAACTAAGAATCAGCGAAGACCTCCGACCACCTCTAACCTCAAGCCTCTTCGCTCCTCGCCATGCGGTGGCGGCCCTCAAACACCAGAGGCGCCCCGGATTGGCGGCCCAGACCCGAGGCCATTCGAATAGCACTTGGCATACGAGCGCCACCTTCGCATGCGGAGCACGAACGATTGTCTGAACATTGCATGTGCTCCCAAAACGCCGATCATATGCAGATCTCGTGTTCGAGCAAGGATCAAGGCATGCGTTCGGAGCGATCTGAGGATAGAGCGAACAGCTCCATGCACAAGTCATGCTGCTCCTTCAGCAGTAAAGGACCTGTGCTGTCCTGTCCAGAGATCGAGGGAGGAGGCAATTTGTCCCGATGGACGCTGGCGCGACGCGGGGAACCAGCGCGGTGGAGGTGGCGAACTAGCCAAGGTCACAAACAGTCCCCTTCAATTGTTCCCCACCGTCACGACAGCACAGAGTGGGCCTGCTGCCCTCTGAGGTCGCTTCTCGAAGCGTGCAGCCGAAGACATGTGAGACAGGGGGTGTGGGAAGGAGGGTGTGAAGGAGGGCGGCGGGTCATGGGGCCCAACCCCTCTTCCGAATTTCGGCATCACTTCCTCATCCTCCTCGGGCCTCCTCGTCCTTTCCCTCGTCCTCCTCGCTCGTCTCCTCCTCAAGCTTCTCGGGAGTGGAGGGCGAGGAGAGGGAGGAGGGATTCCAGGTTCAAGGGTTGGATGCGTCCCTGGTCCTAGAGGCCGCAGTCCTCAGAGAGAGGAGAACAGAGGGGCAACAACGATCGAGGGCCAGACAGCAAGGCCGCGAAAACCAGGCAGGGAGGAGGGGATGCAGGAGGAGTCCTCCTCGTCCGTCCTCCTGCCTCGCCGGATCCCCGAGACGAGCCCAGGCCAGGCGACCGACCGAAGCCCGCACGCAAGAGCTCTTGCCCCCCGCTTCACATCCTAACGTGGCAGGCAGGGGCGAGCCGCCAGCTACCTACTGGGACCTCTGGGTGCCGTGGAAGCAATACGTTCTGGCGGCCGAAGGCCATGAACCAGAAATACGTAACTACTCCTCCTCCTCCTCCTCCTTCTCCTCCTCCTCGGACCTCGGACAGAAGAACACCCTTCAGACCCTCCGCCGGCCAACACACACAGCACGTCCGAGGGCACACCGCCCTAAAAATGCACAAGAGCTTCCAACAACCGCGAAGAACACTAGTCACTAGGGTACCCTCGCCGAACCGCCCTAGATCCTGAGACCTAGGTCCGACCGTAATCAAAGAGTGAAGATAGTATACAGCACTGGACATGAAGGAGGTCATCTGCGAGACCGTCCAAGAAACCACCCAAAATATCATACAGGAGACCACTCAAGAGAACACACGGGAAACCATGCGGGAGGCCATACGGGGGAGCGTACGGGAGACCATAACGGGAGACCAGAAAAGGAGACCGCGAGAGAGAGAGAGAGACCATACGGGAGACCATAAAGGGAACACGCAAGGGATACCATGGGACACCACAAAGAATTCTGCACGGGAAGCCATAAAATTACCCTGGCGACGTACCCAACC